TGAGTGAATGTCCACATTGGGGGTCATTGAACGATAAAGAGGGCTGTTGAAAATATAACTATGTTGAGAACTAAAATGAAAGGAAAAATGCGTTATGATATTGTGACCCCGAGGGAAACGCAAAGTAAGGCGGGTTATAGCGAAACATTCATTTTATCCAGTGCTCAAATCTTTGGACAGGCTGGAATTGAGAGCCCAAAAGAAGAAAAGTGTAGAATACATCACAAATTGGGATCTGTTAAGCCATCTTCTAGGCAAGATTCTCTCAATAAAGCAATCATTTTAAAGCGTCAAAACTGAGTCAAGAAATAGATGAAAATTGACTTTTCTAATGCAATTTTCACGGACGAATCTCGCGTGGCTCTCGTTAGACTTGATGTATGAACCAAAAGCTGATCAATGCATCGAATATATATATATATATATATATATATATATATATATATATATATATATTCGACTCTCCTCTCGAATTCGGCGTATGAGGGTCAGTTTCTAGGAAACCGACAGCCCAGACACCAGCATATATGATTTGATTATAGTTTTGCGCAGAACCAAATACACTTTTTGAAGGGCCGAATACTGAGACCTGGTGCCCTACGTGCCACAAGGTCCCGAACCGACTCTCCGCAGATTTTGAATTCACAGTTGTCCTTCTCCTAGGCCAGTTGCCTAGTCTGTCCTGCTATTTTCTTGTAGCTTGAGGGAGAAGAAGATGATTCATATCTTTCCCAAATGTCAGTACACGTAATTCACGTAAGTGAATGTAATGGGCTGGACTGGAATTCGAACTTGATTCTTTGATTCCTCAATTTCAGCCGCTATCGATTACGCCACCGCGCTGCCTAAACATACATACGTACATATATACATGTATGTATGTATGCCATGGGTAAACTGTCACCATTTAATATTTTTAATTCGTTTGTTTTTGATTTTGTCAACTACACAGTATGGTAGGGTCAGTTGGGCAACATCTGTTAAAAAAAGGGCACCACGACGAAAATCAATATTGGAGACGCCATACTGTACTGGTTGGCATTCGCGCCGGAAGCTCCAATATGAACATTTCAGAGAGTTTCATTGCACGTCAACTACAAAGATGAATCACTTAGAAATATCATAAAGAAATACACTACCCCAGCTGACCCGAACAAAACAAATAAATTATTTATCTATTACAAAAAAATTTACAACCGCTAACCTTATCCTAAAAATTAACAACATACCTGAAAATTTAAAACTACAAAGAAAGAACATTATTTACAAGTTCAAATGCCCTTTAATGAACTGTGTTACTGATCAAACCAAACTCATAAAGAATTACATAGGTCACACTACTACATGCCTATCCAGACGATTTACGTTACACCTGTCCGACCGCAGCTGCATTAGAACACATTTAAATACACACACAAACCTACCATCCATCCTACCTATCCATCCGTAATATACTAGTAGAAAATACGAGCATAATAATCCCTTCCACATGTAAAATGTTTAAAAATAATGGAAGCCTTAATAATAAAAAGAAAAAGCCAACACACAATATTATTAACTACGAATAAGGACAAAATGTGCTGACTGTGTTTGGAAAATAAAACACCCCTACAACTCTAGATACATACACACAACCTATACATCCGGTTAAAAAGTAAAAATAAAACCATCCTAAAAGTATAGCCGAAAGCGCTCGGAATTACAGAACATTTGGGCAGTTTCTACACACTGTGTCCAAAAAAGAAAATACTTGTTCGAACAAGAATAATTAAATAAAAAGCTTCATCAAAGTACCGTTTTCCGTTATCTTTAAAGAAACATATATATTCACATTGTAGTGGACTTATATCTGATTGGGTCATCTGCCTAACATCAAAATTTTGTTTCCGTTGGGCACTTTTTGTTGACCATGTTTGCCGTAGTCTCTGAATATGGAATCCAGTGAAGTCCGTAATGTGTTCAATATCAGAGTTTGGCAGTGAAGATTCAGAGAAAGTAGCGGCTGTTAAGTAATTCTTTAAGTCTTCGATATCAGAGGTTGGCAGTGACGATATTTTGGGAGAAAAAAACAAAATGGCTGCCTTTATACACGTCGCATTGAATATTTTGAGCTTTCTGATTGGTTAACCCTTCTATTGGTGAACTATAAAATGAGTTAGCTAATTTTGACTGGCCCACTAGAACATATGACCAAAAAACTGCAACACTTTTGTCTGCGTTTAGTAAAAATTGTTAGAGAAACTTTTAGCTTCATCAAAATCCTATTCCCTTATTATAGAAATTAGTTCATTTTTTTATAAATTCATTTTAATACTTAATATTTATTATTAATTCTGATAAATAATTCAACAATATATTTCCCTTCATTGTTTACGAACTCCCGCCAACTGTTCAATGTCTAACCCTCGACATATTCATCAAGCTCCGTTTTTATGCTCTATATCGTTGTTGAACGAATCACCCCTTAAATTTTCAGACAGCAACCAAAAACGATGTTATTCTGAATAGCTAAATCAAGAGAATATGGTAGGCGTGTCAGAACTTCCCAACATAGTTCTTTCTTTGTATCCACGAGTAGTCTAATAACCTGCGAGCTAACTGGCTGCAATGGAGAAGCTCTGGAGATTTTTTTTCTCTCGGTCAATGACTGTGGCACCCATGTGCCGTAAGTAAAGATGTCGAGCGACAATAGCATGAAAGTTTCTTCTTTAATCGGCGCTTGCAATTGGTTCTCAGCAAATTGAACAGGTCTGCCAGAACACAGAGAATCTGTAAATTCAAACTTCCCCTTCATGTAAAGGGGGGAAATTTCTGTACCATTCTGTCGATAATGAAGCCATCTTCGTACACAGCGCAAATATCTGGAGCAGTTTTGTTAGTTTTGCAAAAGATGATGTCGTACATCGTCATTCTTGGCTACTCGGCATTCTATCTGAAAGGGGTGTCTAATCTGAAATAAAATTTCAATCAAGTTATACAGCAATTTCACTGGATGACCAGATTTAATTATAAGCAAAACATGCTACGAATGATTATTCTTCGAGATCATTCGCAGAACATCAGAAAAAAAGAATGACTATATATGAAACAATTTAATATTTTCAGAGACAATGTCGAAATATTTTACAAGCTTGTGTTTTTAGTGTAAATGGCGCACTTAGTTCGGGAAAATGCCTGCAATTATTAAACGTTATCGATTTAGTGTGCGCTAACACAAAATAAATTGTTTACAGTGTGCAAAAGTTTATATCGGGAAGACATCACGGGATCTAAAATCTCGTATCTACGAGTACAAAAGAGATTTACGCTTAAAGAAACCTTCAAACGTTCTCGTAAAACACATGAAGAAAACTTGTCATAATTTTGATTTTACTAATAACACCGGAATTAAAAAAGAACATCATTATTTAAGGAGAAAGAACTCTGAGACACTAATAATAATAGCAATATTATCAACTATAAACACTCGTCTAAAACATTATAATACACTGCCAACCTTTAATGAATTCATTCTTAAAGAATCCAATGTATGCGTATTTAAAACAAATGGTATGTACGCAAACACTTTCTCAAATAAACATGTAAGAAACAACAAACATAATGTCTAACAAACAGACATTCACATAATTACGAATATAAATTATCTTCTGATTCCCCAGAGACAATCTAGAATTGTTATATACTTACATGCCTACAGTAATATGCACTGGTCTTCAGGCAGGCATGGATTCCATTAATTTATTGAACTTTTCGATGGACGCGTTCAACTCTCGTTGAATTCGGAACACTACAAATTCTACTAAGATGTGTTTAAAAGCTTTGAATGCACGTAAAACATGATTGACCAATGAAAATAAAACTACACAAAAGAAAAAATACAAGAATGTCATTCTTCTTTTTCTCCATATCTTAGTCTCTAATGAAGCTTTAATACAAGTGGAATATGTTAGATTAGTAAACATTACTATTTTTTATTTATCTATTGATATATATATATATATATATATATATATATATATATATATATATATATATATATATATATATATTCAGTTATATGGATAATGATCATATATATATATATATATATATATATATATATATATATATATATATATTCAATTGTATGGATATTGATCATAATATATATATATATATATATATATATATATATATATATATATATATATATGTGTATATATATATATGTATATATATTTATATATATATATATATTCATATATATATATGCATAAATATATGTATATATATATATATATATATATATATATATATATATATGTATATATATATGTATATATATATATATGTATATATGTATATATATATATATATATATATATATATGTATATATAATACATATATATATATATATATATATATATATATATATATATATATATATATATATATATATATATATATTTATATATATATATATAGCGGGCTGCAAATCGAAGTTGGTGTAATGGTTAATAACCTTCTCACGCTAGATCTATTACGACTAAATATGAAGTTCGATACTCACTGGGTGCCCCATACTTTTTGAACTTGTGCCAGACATAAAGCTATGCTTAGAAAATCACCAGGGCACCTCGACACGGTGTAATTGTTAGCAAGCTTGTATACAAGACCAATTGAGAGTGATTAGTAAATTCGATCTTCACTGGGTGCTCCTTACTTTCGGCCTTGTGCCACATGTTAGCTACGCTTCATCAACCGCTGTGTGTGTGTGTGTGTGTGTGTGTGTGTGTGTGTGTGTGTGTGTGTGTGTGAAATTTATTTGGAGAGATATACGCACAAATCTCAGTGGAAAATCACATTGTTTGACGCGCTTGAACGGCCAAATGATCGCAGAGAGACATTTCGAGTCACACCAGTCGTTCAAACTGACCCTGCCCTAGTCCGACTCGCTACCAGAAATTCTCCCAACCTTCGCCGACAAAAGGCACAATGTCTTTCACATATTCGCATATCGTCACACAACACCGATCCCTTCAACCCAGCTGCAATGAAGACTGCGCAAAAACAGAAACAAACAAAAAAATACAAACACAGAACGAGAGGAGAGGCTGTGAAAACTGCGCTGATGACGGAACGAATAAGATTTTTTTGCGTCGGAAGATTCGGAGGCGGGTGTAGAGAAGGGTTTATAAGGACGGTCGGGTGGCGGGAATTTTAGGAAACAAATATGTCGAAATCTAGAGAGAGAACAGAGGGGAATGCCGGTAATGTTATTAACACCACCACAACGAAAACACATAGATATAGATACACATACAGAGAAAGAGAGAGAGGGAGAGAGAAAATTTAAGAAAAGGTAGATACACATACAGAGAGGGAGGGAGAGAAAGAGAGAGAAAATATGAGAAGAGATAGATACACATGCAGAGAGGGAGGGAGAGAAAGAGAGAGAAAATATGAGAAGAGATAGATACACATGCAGAGAGAGAGAGAGAGAGAGAGAGAAAAATATGAGAAGAGATAGATACACATTCAGAGAGGAAGGGAGAGAAAGAGAGAGAAAATATGAGAAGAGATAGATACACATGCAGAGAGAGAGAGAGAGAGAGAGGCATAAAGATGAGAAATAGAAATAGAAAGAGAGAAAGAGAGAAAGAGAGCAAAATAAAACAAATGATGATACGTATAGGGAGCGGAAAAGGACAGGAAGATGAGAATTAAATAGATAGATAGATAGATAGATAGATAGATAGATAGATAGATATGAGACGGGTAAGGAGAGAGTGTAGAAAATTATATATATATATTTCCAATAGCATTTTCGGATACAACAATACATATATTTTCGTTGTCCTCTTATTACTGAGAGAAAAACCAAGAACAACATCTATTCCATACCTGAAGATGTCTGTAGGAACAGACGAAAGTTTGTAGTAAAAATAAGAACTAATGCAGCAGAAATTTATAGAAACAAGGATCTTTTCATTCATAACAGGTTCGGAGGTTTTTGTATATTATTTGAATTGTTTGCGACGATGGATTTCTCGCCAATTAAATCATTAACCTTTGCATTTGTTTTTGTGAATAATTCATGAATATATATATATATATATATATATATATATATATATATATATATATATAATTTCAAAGACGGATCAAAATTAAAATAATTTCTCGCGTGACTCTAATTTAATATACATCATTACATTCAATGATTGCCAAGAGCATTGCATTGGCCAAACCAGCCAATCACTCCAGCAAAGGATGATAGTACATCGCCAACACATTAGGTATCCCCACACCAGAAGAATACTCCTTAGCCAACATATAGAAGAATAATACCTTAGCCAACATATAGAAGAATGCGGAGGACAGAATCTGCCAAATTTTACTGTTATTCCATTCAGCGACTACAGAATCACTGAACAAAGGCGGATTAATAAGAAAACATTTTCATCAAGTTCAAACCAATACTTAATTCCTTGCATAAATTCTACCAAATTCTACCAAATTTTTATCATAAACGACATAATTAGCCAGTTACGTCCCTTGATTTAAAAAATTTTTTCTCATTTTCTCATTTGTACAAAATATGAGCGTCAACACGTGGAGATACAAACAGCTAAAACATTTTTGAAAAGCTACGCGAAACTGGTTAAAGCAAAAAAGTAAAACAAATAATTTTTCGAGGAAAAATCACTGAAAATACATTTGTAAGTAACAAAGATTTAATTTTAATTTTTCTCTGTAAAGATACATATATTATAAAAGTGTATATTATATATTATAAAATTCATATATTATAAAATACATATATTATAAATAAATATTATTATAAATACTAGGTGTTTTTTCCTAATTCTTTTTTTAGTTTATACAATAAGGTTTTGTACAGAATCTTTCTAACAATTTCATTTTTTTTTTACATGTATATATATATATATATATATATATATGATTTAAAATATAGTTTCTTCGCTACACAGGAATTACCATGTTTCAAAAACCAACGCTAAAAACTTCAAATTTAATTATATAATTAATTTAAAATCATTAGTTCTATTTCATTTTCAAGCGAACTTTGGAATTCCAAATTCGCTTGAAGATGAAACAGAAGTAATGCTTTTAATTTAATTATATAATTAACTTTTTAGTTTGGGTTTTTTAAAACATGGTAATTCCTGTGTAGCGAAGAAACCATATTTTAAATCAGTTAATTTATAATATTTATGCTCTGTAAATTTACATTGAGCACTGTTTTGTAAAAATAAAAATATCAATAAGAACACCGGATTATATATCTTACTGTTCTTTCTTTTTATTGCATCATATATATATATATATATATATATATATATATATATATATATTGTGTGTATTTAGGCAGCATCTTTTCATTCATGCACGTTTCATTAAATAATATAGACAAGTGTTGTCTATTTAATTTATGTCAATTTTTTTCGTGAATGTCTATAATTGGTAACAGAAGCCATTGGTTTATACCAACGGCTTCCCATACTTCTACAATTCCTTCTCGTGTGGTCATGTGTGACGTAATGAGATGCGGTACGATTTTCGCTTCTTGCGTCTTATATGCACGTGTTTATCGTTGCTTAGAAATCATCTATGTAAACATTGACAGACTATCATCACTGTCTTGTCCGTATATTGCTTAATATGTTATAATTGACATCTTTGATAATGGCTTATGTAAGCCGAAAGCTTAGATTGTATTAAAAAAATAAATATGGATCAATATTGTGAATTTCTTTCTTCGTTCAACGATAATGTTATTAAACTTATCAGACGTTACGAAAAAAAATTACATAAAATAAATAGACAACACTTGTCTATATTATTTAATGAAACGTGTATGAATATATATATATATATATATATATATATATATATATATATATATATATATATGATATATATGAAAATATATATAAAAATAGGAAAGAACTGGTTAGGTAAATAATCCAAAAGTTCCTTACTATTTTAGTTATTATTTTTTAATAATAGTGCTTGATACAAAAGTAGAGCATAAATATAATTATTTATTTAAAAATATGATTCCAACTCGCGACATAAGAGGTCTCATGTTTCAAAACAAGAGCCGAAAACTTCAATATAATTATTTGAATTAAATTGAGTTAAAGTAAGTATATATATATATTTGAATAGCATCCTTTCTTGTAAACATCTTTTGTTAAATATGACAAAAAAATTTTTATTAATTTTCTTATTTAGTTTTTTTTTAGTTTTTCAAGCGTTATTACATATTTCTGGCTGATGGGAGTATTCGAGTGCAAAGGTTCTCAATGTTGCCCATAGTCCCAAGTGCTTTCGCCAAATTCTTCAGCCATTTTCAAGGCCGGTTGTTTGAGTTGTTGATCGTTTATTTTCCTGTTTTGGCTGTGTCATGTGTAGTTTATTTTCGTGATGTTTTCAATACTAGTAGGAGCTTTTATTCCCAGCCTTCACGTACTGAGCGCGTCTGGGGTTCGAGTAAGCGTCTTACCATGTTTTTTAAAAACTTTCAACACTCCGTTACTGCTGTTAAATATATTTGATAATTTTATTGATGCTACAAAACTAAATAAGCGACATAAACAGACAAAATTTATTTTTAATATTACCACAAATGACAAAAGAAAAAAAAGAGAAACGAACTAGCTTACCGGTTTCGTACCTCGCTCAACAGAGTTAAATCGAGGTAAATAAATAAGTTCAATAAATAAGGAGAATTTTTCGGTATAAGGACTTTTAATACAGATAGAAGCTTACTTCTTTTATTTTTGTTTTACTTCTTTTTCACATGGATTTAATTTCTTTTGCAGATTAAAAAAAAACTTTGAGAGTTTTATATATTTAACAAAGATGGCCGACCAAGAAGCATGCTCCAGGATTGAACAGCGGTCAGTTATCAAGTTTTTGGTTGCTGAAGGGTGAAAACCAGTTGAAATTCATAGAAGAATGTCAACTGTGTATGGTACCACATGTTTCAGCCAAAAAAGTGTCTACAAGTGGGCCAAATTGTTTAAAGAATGACGGAGCAGTGTTGACGATGAAGACAGACCTGGGAGGCCTACAGAAGTGAGGTCTCCTGAGGTGATCGAATCAGTCAATGACCTCATTCAGTCTGACAGAAGAACTACTATGAACTGCTGAGGCAGGTCAAGAAAGACATAAAGAACAAACGTAAGGGTTCATCAGTCAGAAGGAGTCATCTTGCATCATGACAACACAAGGCCTCACAAGCAGCCCAAAGGTTGCAGACCATCAACGACATCAGTCCAAAGATTTTTACGCTGAGGGAATACGGAAGCTTGTGCACAGATGGGAAAAGTATGTGACAGTACTGGGAGACTAGGTTGAAAAATAAAAAAAATGTAAGCTTCTATCTGTATTAGAAATCCTTATACCGAAAAATTCACCTTATTTATTGAATGACCCTCGTATATATTATCAATAAAAGTAATAGAGAGTATGTGAAAATAATTATTTAAATGGAAACCAAATAGAGGCCAGGGACAGAATCCATAGTGGCAGAAAGCCAACCATTGCTGGTCGAGGTTCTGCGTAGCATGGAAGGACTCTTTATTCTACAGATTTGGAGAGATGGAGACGTGCCAAAAGATTGGAGGAATGCAACAATGATACCTATATATAAGGGTAAAGGTACCCTGGAATCATGTGGTAATTGTAGGAAGATTGCTCTCCTTTCTTTGGCAGTTAAGATCTTAGCCTCTGCTCTCCTATTAAGGTTAAACCAGAAAATAGCTGAAAATATACTGCCGGAGTCACAGTGTGGTTTCCGCCAACGCAGTGGTACCACGGATATGATTGTTACAGCACGACAAATCCAGGAAAAGGGCTGTGAACAACAACTGGACCGTTATCAAACATTTGTAGATCTGGGGAAGGCTTTTGACCCGCTTAATTATACTGCTCTTTGGAAAATCCTCTCAAAATTGGGCTATCCTCTCCCACTTTCACAAGATTCTGAGGTCCTCCCATGACAGATTCATAGTAGTAGAACTTGATCGCAAACCTGGGCGAAGTTCTGCGTGGCATGGAGGGACTCAATATGGGCAGAGGTGTTAGGCTTGATGGCCTTCCTGATGAGATAATCCGTTACAGTGGAACTTGTGCATAATCTTATTGTAAAGATTTGGAGATGGAGAAGTGCCAAAAGATTGGAGGAATGCAACAATGATACCTATATATAAGGGTAAAGGTACCCTGGAATCACGTGGTAATTGTAGGAGGATTGCTCTCCTTTCTTCAGCATGTAAGATCTTAGCCTCTGCTCTCCTATTAAGGTTAAACCAGAAAATAGTTGACAATATAATGCCTGTGCCACTGTGTGGTTTCCGCCAACACAGAGGGTCCACAGAAAAAGTGTTGTGAACAACAAATAGACCGTTATCAAATATTTGTAGATCATAGGAAGTCTTTTAACCCTGTTAATCGTGCTGCTCTTTGGAAAGTCCTCTCAAAAGTGGGCTGTCCTCTCACACTTTCACAAGATTCTGAGGCCCTTCCATGACAGTATGGTAACCTGCGTCAGTTTTAGTGGTATGCTTACGGGGTCCATCAAGGTTCAAAATCAATCAAGCAAGGAGATCTTCTGGCTCCCTCACTGTTTTCTGTCTACTTAGCAATTGTACTACTAGATGCGTTCGGAGAATGACAAAATGATATTATGATAAGTTATATGTCAACTGGCAAGCTTTTCAACATACGTAGGCTTGCAGCAGACAAAAGCCTTTTTTTTAAAATTAGCACGCAACCTTCTCTATGGCGATGACTGTGACCTGGTCTCACACA